GGAGAACACATGTGAGAATGGGCTAGCCTTCCTCAGCAAGTGGCCAGCAGTCCTCTAATTCTTCATTTTCTGAAGTAAAGGCAGAAAGGGGAGGATGGGAGAGAACACTCTAAAAGTTTTCAAAGAAGATATAATTAAGATGATGCTACACTAGAACATTCCATGTAAGTTATGACTTATTTGGTGATAATCACTGACAGAGATATGTCATCATAATATCAATGTAACTAACCTGTACCCTTATCTTTACCCTCAGTCCTCAATGGGAAGGCTTTTGTAGCACATTATATGAAAAAAAAACTTATAGATGTGGGTGGACCTTTAATTAGAAAATATTACTCTACACACGTTTCTGCTCTATTATACAGGAATCATGCCAAATAACACAATGACTAAAACGAGGGTGGAAAAATCAGGAAAACAGTTTGCTTACATTAATGAGCAATTAGGCCAGCCAGCAGCAGAACCCGGGCTGAAGACAGCCCTTGACTGAGGGCCTGTGGCCATGAGGTGGCCTCTGAGCAGGTATCACACCCTAGGGTCTTGAGTGGAGCAGGGCATACTTCATCAAAAGTCAAGTTCTGGACCAACCCACCCTGCTGCTCTGTGCCAGGCAACAGGTGCCTTGCTGCTTGTGGGTGTGGTTAAGCCAGCCTGTATTTGTTCAATTAAATCAACTCCCATTTCCTTCCTCTCTTTGCTTGAAGGAAGACCTCCAAATGGCCCACTATCTGGGTCTTCCAAACACGTCTCCTCACACTTCTGCCCTGGACGCTGCCCATGCCCACTTTTGTAAACAACTCTAGATCTTGCAGCTGAAACAATTCTTGCATTTCCTGCTGGACCTTCCAAAGGAACACAGCCATCCTATCTCCTTGTCCCAGCCTCACACAGAAAGTACCAGCTAGCAATACAACACCAGGGACCCTCATCTCTCACCAACTTGAAAGGTTAAAACATGGCCCAAATAAACACACGGCAGGCACACCAGAGCAAGATGGCAACCTTCTGGTCCCCACCAGGAGATTCCAGCATCCTCCCAGGTGTCCCATGCCCCACCCCCAACCCTCTCTACAGGAAATGAGGGAGCAGGTGTGCTTAGGTCAAGTGCACCAGCTGGGAGCAGGCAGGGGGTGTCTCACTTGCTGAGAAGGTGAGACTCCAGGTCCTCAAGTCAGCAAAGTTGTCCATGCTGAGAGGCCCCTGGGCCTGCAAACCTGGGCTTCCTCAGAACAAGGGGTGATCCCCTCGTGCTAGGTCATCGCTGGCAGTGATGTGCCATTATTACCCTCTCTGGCACCATCAACCTTTTGGGAGTCATCTTTCCTAAACCTGGGGAGTAGGGCCTGGCTGGGGAAGCAGCCCTGGACGCAGTGGCAGCCTTCAGGCACAGTGACTGGCCTGACAGTACCAAAGCCTCAGCAAACCCCAACAGGTCTTGAGCTCTGGGGACTCAACCCCGAGGCCAGCGCAAGTATAAGAGCTCAGTGGCCCTGATCCTGGCTGAAATGACCTCCTCTCTCTGCGTTTCTCCCAGAATAGACCCTGGGATCTGCTTGGAACTCTGACAGACACGAGGCCAGCAAGGGCTCCATCGCAGTCTGTGCTCAAAGACACAAAGCCACATGCCCAAAGGAGAGCGACCGCGAAGCCATCAAGTTGGTATTTGCAAATAAACGCGTGATCCTTGGCACCCAGGGCGCCACAGGCAAGCGGTGGAAGCGGTGCTGCACGGGTACCAGGTGGACGTCATTCCGTGGAATTAGGGACCGACGAGGAGAGACACCCCTCCATGCCCCTCACTGCGGGTCCCCAGATCCCGCGCGCCCGCCGTCCACACTCACCATCACGTTCCCCTGCATTTTAGCCGTCTTGATCATCGCCTTTTCCTTCATTTTGCCCGGAATCTGAAACCGACTTCTGCCCCAGGAAGAGTAACTTAATCCATTGTCCTGGCGAGGATGAAAGTAGAGGCTGGGCTGGCTGGCGACTGGGCGGAGATGCCTTTCTGAAGACGAGATTCTTCCAGGTCTTCCGTTTCCCCACCTTCACTCCCGCTCCCCAGCGGATCCAATACCAATCAACTCTTTTCAGTCGCCGCCAACGAAGGGAGAAAATCAAAAGAGCCGGATGGTGGAAGTGATGCTTTCAACAAAAAGCCGGAGCCGAGGCGGGGAAGGGGCTGGGAGCCCGGCGAGCAGACAGCGTGCGTGTCCGCCGCGCTCGCCGTCAACACAGAGCGAGCGACAGCGGCGCGGCACGCGCGCGGGGCTCACTCGGGGACACTGGGCGGCGCAGCCCCGGCTGGCGGGGCTTCTTGGTTGGCAGCGCTGGGCGCAGCGGTCGCTGCACTAGTCCCTAAGGGCGGGGGCCAGTCAGGCGGCGACGCCACGGCTGTGTGTGTGTGTGTGTGTGTGTGTGTGTGTGTGTGTACACGCGTGCACGCGCGCGCCGGGTGTTCTGCCTGAACCGAGCAGGACCGGGAAGCCTCCGGCTGCAGCAAGGTTAAGGAGCCCAAACTGTTTGGGTAGCGATGGGAGCCCCTCCCCAAACACCCCTCC